TTTTAGGTGAGTTCGTTCGGGTTAAAGTATAGGTTATAAATTTAATTAAGACTATGATAGATACCACGGAAATTTTTCCAAAACCCCCCCAAAAATTTTTTTTTCAATTTAAGGGGGGGTCAGGGGGGTCTTTTTTGTGGGAAAAAAAAAAAAAAAAAACCCCCAAAAAAAAAAAGATTATTTACAAGAAGGAGGTACCCCTTTTAGCCGGAAAAAAAGGAAAAATTTTTGGATGGGGGTGGGCCTTTAATTCGTTTTTTTTTTTTAACTTGTAATTAGGAAATTTTTAAACGGGAAAAAAAAAAAAAAAAAACCCTTTGGGGGGGTTTAAAAATTTAGGGGATTGTTTTTTTAAATCAGGTAGGGGGAGAAAACCTTTCGGGGGCCATAACCAAAAACGGCAAACCATTTTTTTCCCGGTTTTGCCCTGGTTTAGGTTATGACCTTTCGGGGGGGGCTGGGGGGGGCCCAGAATTTTTAAATTGGAAAACGGCTACCGGGGGGATTTTGTAGGAACGGACAACCAAAGGGGTCGGGGGAAAAGGGTTGGGGGGGTAAGGGAACCCAAACCCCCCCCCGTTTGGTGTTTTGAAAAATTTAGAGGCACGCGGGGGGGGGAACGTTTTTTTAAACCCAAAGGGGGGGGGGTTACCCAAACGGCCCGGCCAAACCCCCAACCCAACAACCCAAACCCCTTCCTTACCCCCCGAGGACATTTCCTTTTCAAGGGATTTCCCCTTTTCCCGCGGGCTTTAAAAAAAAAAAAAAAAAAAAGGCCGGGAAGGACCCAAAATTAAAAAAAAGGGTTTTAAAAAAGGGGGGATTTTCCGCCGGGTTTTTTTTGAAAGCCCTTTCCGGGGGAAACCCCAAAAAAAGAAGTAAAAAGGGGAAAAATGTTGTGTGTATTGTGGGGTTGTATTATGTGTTGGTATTATGTATAGTGTTAATAGTTGTTGTGTTTTTTTTTTCGGCGCTTTCCCTCCCTCCCCTTTTTTTTGTCTCTTCTTAACCCACCCCCCCCAAAATGTTCCAAAAAATTTCTTTTACTTTTTCTTTGGGTCGGGGGGGGGGAAAGCGGCCTCACCGCCGGGGGGGGCGGGAAAAATTTCTTTAAAAACCTTTTTTTTTATGTTTCCCCTCGGCCTTTTTTTAACCGGGGGGGGTGGGGAAAGAAAGGGGGGGGGGGGGAAAGGGTCTGGGGAAGGGGGAAAAATGTTCTCCGTGGGAGGAAGGGTTGGGTGTGTGGTTGCCGGGCCCGTTGGTTTAACCTTGGGGGGGGGGTTACTCCCCCGGGGGTTTTTTGGCTCCCTTTAATGTCACACACCACCGTTTGGTCCCTAACCCTTTCCCGAAAAAAACCTGGGTCCCCCCGTTTTTTCCCTTTTTTTTTTTATCCCCCCGGGGGGGGGGGTAAAGGGGGGTCAAAAAAACCCAGATTTGTTAAAAAAAATCGGCCCCGGGGCCCGGAAGGTGGTCTTTAAAAACCCTTTAAAACCCCCAGGCCAAAACCGAAAAAAAAAAAAAAATTGTTCGGTTTTTTTTTTTTTTTTGGGGTGCCCCCCCCCCGGGAAAAAAAAAAAAGGGGGGTTTCCTCTTCTACCCTTATAAAAAAAAACCAAAAAAAAAAAAAATTTCCCCCTACAAAAAATTTTTGAAAGAAACCAAAGGGGGGGGTTTTCGTTTAAAAAATATTCTAATAAAAGGGGGGGGGGTAACCGAAATAAGGGCCCCCTTTACCCCCAAAAAATTTCCTCGGGTTAAAGGGTTTTTTACCCCTTTATTTAATTGGTTTTTTTCCAAAAACAAAAAAAAAAAAAAAAGGGGGAACCCCTTGGGGGGACCCCCCCTTAAATTGAAAATTTGGGGTTTTTTGGGAAATTTTGTGTTTTTTTTCGGGGGTGGTTAAATCTAATCTAATTTAACGGTTTCTTTTATTAAAAAATTTTTTAAAAACAACCCCCTTTATACTTTTTTTAAAAAAACCCCCCGAAAAAACCCCTTCACTAAAGGGGGGGGGGGGGCGGGGGGGGGCTTCGGGGAAAACTTTTTTTTTTACTTTTTTCAAATTGTTTCGTTTTGTTATTTTTTATTTTCTTGGGGTTTTTGGGGTCAAAAAAAAAAACTTTAATTTATTAAGAACAACAAACCCATACTTTTAGTTTTTAACCTTTTCTTTTTTTTCAAAATTTTAAAAAACCTTTTTAAAAATTATGTTGTTATTTTTGGTTTTTTTTTTTTTGGGGAAAAAACAAACAAATCATTTTCAGGAAAAAAAACCGCGCTCATTTTTTGAATGGAGTTAATCTTACACATCTTTACCAAATTTTTCTTTTCAAAAAAACAAAAAAAAACCTTTACTTTTTCGGGAAAACAAAAAAAAAAAAAGAACAAAAAAACACCCCCCGGGAAAGGGGTTTTTTCAACTTAAGGGTTCGTTTTACTTTTGGCAGGGGGACCCCTTTTTTTTATTTTAACCCCCGGGGGGGGGGGGGAATTTTTTTTTTTTTAAAATAAGGGGTTTTGAAACCTTTCGGGTTTGGTTGGAAAAAAACCCCCCCCCGGATTTTTGGGGAATTTTTGTAAAATTTTATTACCCCCCAAAGGACCATATTTTAATTAAAAAAAAAAAAGGGTTTTTGAATCAATTTAAAGAAAAAAAATTTAATACCCAACGTAAACCCAACAAAGTGGGAAAAAAGTAAAAAAACCCGGGGGTTCGGGTGGTTCCCTTGGCAGTTTTTAGGAGGGGGTAGTTCCGGTTTTTTTTTCCTTTTAAACCTTTTCCCCAAAAGGGACCCAACGGGAAAAACCCCCCTTTCCGGGGATTTGCCAAAGGGGGTTTTTCGGGAACGGGGGTTTAAATCGGGGGGTGATGGATTTCGGGGAAAAAAAAAAAAAAATCCTTTTTTTCAAAAAAACACCCCGGGCCCGGGGGGCGGGGGGGGGGCGGTCAATTTTCTTTTTTGGTCTTTTGGACGGTTTTTTTGGGTTGGGGGTTGTTTTAAAAACCAGTTTACGGGGGGGGACTTTAATATTGAAGACCCCGTCGGGGGGGGGGGAAAAATTTTTAAACAACCAATTTTAGAATAGTTCGTTTTCAAAAAAAAAAAAAAAATTTGGGTTTTTTCTTCATTAGGTCAAAACAAAAAAACCGGGTCCAGGGGGGGGGGGTGGGGTTTGAAAATAGGGGTTCTTTTTTGGGTTTTTCCTTTTTACCGGCCCCTCTTTCCAACCCCTTTTTTGGGGTTTTTTCCAAATCCGACAACGTTTTTTTGTTTTTTCGGTTTTTTCACCCCCCCGACAAAAAGGGGGAAAGGGGGGGGAAACAACCCAAAAACCCGAAAAAAAACAAAGGGGGGGATCCCGGGGGAAAAAAAAAAAGGATTTCCTTTATCTCCCTATTTTCGGGGGAACCGGGGGGGAAAAAAACCCAAAGGGGGGGTTTATCCGGCCAAAAAGTTTTTTTTGTTATTTTAGGAAAAAGGGGAAAAACCTCTTAACGGGGGGGGGGGGCCCTTTTTTCCCCCCCCTTTTTTTCCAAACTTTTTTTACAGTGGCAGGGGGGGCCAAATCTCTCAAGGGGGGGGGAACCCCGGCACGCCAAAAAAACTTTTCTTTCCCACCCCTTTTTAACCCTTATACCTTTCCCTAAATGGAGGGGGAAAAAAAAAATTTCTGTCCTTAGCTATTTGTTTTTTTCTTTTTCTTATGTCTTCCTTCTGTGCGTCGGTTTAAGAAACATCCACTGAAGGAAAAAACGAACGTGGGTGTCAAGTTGGGGCTTTACTTTTTATTTGGTCTTCAAAAAAAAGGGTAGGGGTTCTTGGGTTTCCCGCGCTGAATGGAGTAAAAAGCACAATAAAAAATAAAGTTTGATTATATTCCTGTGATCCTGGTATGATCAAATGAAGAAAAAGTACATTGATTTAACACTTTGTGTAGTAGTCTTGGCGAGCACTACTCATTAGATGTGTAAATGTTTAAAGAAAAGTTGTTTGAATGAAGCCTTTTTGTGGGTCCAAAGTGATTAGCATGACGTCTGATAAATGCCCTTAAATGATGTCACTTGAAGCAACGACCTTTGGGGCTAAAAACTAAACATGAAATAATGTTCTGCATCATATATTTTTCACTTAGTATTTTAAATATGTGCTTTCTTGGCAAGCACCAGACCTCATCTTTGCTCGAGGCTACGGTTCAAAGCTGCATTAGCCACTACTAGCTTTAGGAAAAAAGTTGTGGGCGGCCATCCGCAGTAAGACAACTGCACACCACAATGTCAATGCTGAATATAACTTGGCAGCCCTAATTGGTATCTATCAGCAGTTACCAAAGAGTATCAGTTGTTGGCAGTCACTATCCCAGAACCAAGAAATGCCGGAGAGTGGAAAACCAAAGTTAGTGTGCAAAACACAAAGCAGTGTGTTCTCTGTGTTGGCTGTTCCTAGGCTCTAAAGGATAGAGATAAAGCTGCCTTTGGGTCAGCGTTCAAAACAATAATCCTTCTTGGAGATGCCCGAGGGGAAAAGTTGAAAAATGGTCCGTCGTTGAGAGTCTGGCGGTGTTGAAGAAGTGAAATGGAAATGAAGGGAGTACTCTTTAAAGACAGGAACGATAACAAAGAAAAGATACAGAGGAGAACGCAGCATTTTAGTGACTCTTTGCTGCACCAGTCAACCCCGAAATGAAATACAGAGTTCAATCCCAGACCCAAAGTATGCGGAAGAGTCTTGAACATAATCGTCCTCAGTGAAGTAATGTTATCTTAAATGTCTGTTTCTATGTCTTCTTTGTTGACCCTGTAAATGGAGCTGCTATGATGTAAGAACAATGTCAGACCTAATCCAACAGCAAAGTCACATCCTATCTTATTATCGTTATGTTGAAGCAGGCCTTGAAAGATGATATTCAGGGTGTACAGATTTGTGTCAAAACCAATCTGTAAAAGTAAGCAGTGTTTGCCAACCGCCGGACGAGCACATGTCTCCAGTTACTCTGGGTTTAGTATCATAAACACAGTCTTTCGATTCAACCTTCGGAGAACACAGCAAGCATAATCATCTTTGCTGTCTATAATCAAAGCACTTATTGAATCCCTTCAGATGTGTCAGGTGATACTGAATGTCTCTCCAAACACAACATCTGCTTTAAAATGACCCAGTATTTGTATCAGCCAGGTGTTGAACAGCGTGTCCTCCGAACACAGTTTGATTCAGCTGCGCTGGCCACTGACCCGTTTTATGGAAAAAGGACTCGTGTATGTTTTCAATTAGCGCTGGAACAGGTGAGAGGACGCCAAGACATCAGTGAGGAAAAGATGATTAATGAAAGGGCTGAAATATATGACTGCCAAACAACACGGTCAGTTACGAGGCTGAATAATGTTAATATTATAAAGATGTGTTACCCAGTTAAAATGTTTTCATCATTCATCTAGGCTGCCTGTGGTTATTATAGAATACATTTAGTTTAGAGGGGTATCGCTTTTTTTGGTTTTCCCTCTCCTGTGGTGTGTTATGTAGGTTTATGTGCATGTAAATAAAGAAATAAAGAGCTTTTTGAACACTAAAGGATTTAAAAATGTCACAGTAGATGCACAACATACAGATATAAACATAACAATGTGTATAGTAGGGCCCCTTTAAGTCAACTCTGAAGTCAACATACTAGCGGTGTTTCAAATTAAACGTCATTTACACATTAAATCATAAGTAGGTTTTAACTTTTGATGCATTTGGAGCCTTGGTAATTCTGTTTTATTTGATCTCCATCTTCAGTATTTAGCTTTCACTGATGTGTTCAATTCTTCAGCTCATTACCACAGAGCATTGACAAAAAGCTGTGATATCTTTCTTTCTAGTGTTTCTGTTAATGAGTTCTGTTTCTGCACATTATGAAGTTAGCTATGACTATTCAGTGCTGTCATTTAAAAACAGATTACTGCCAACTATCCACCTCTTCAACAAACTGCAAATGTAAAAAACATAGCTTTCTGTGTCCCGTATCTTCCAAGGAAAGATCTATCAGACACAAAGTGATGACAACAGCACTAGCTTTTATAAACTACCTATTGAGTACATCACTATCAGGTTGCAGCAGCTGGTGATATAACTTCAGAATAGATGTTTAATGACACAAAAAGGCTTTAAGAGGGAAGGAAATAGCTTTTTAAAGGCAAAATGATTTACCTGCTCTCTGATCTCCTTCATCTTCTCCACTTTCTTCAGCTTGGTGGCGTATTCCTGGACTTCATTCAGTCCCATATCTGTGCACAGCCTCACCAGGAAACGCAGGCCTGGACACACACACAGGTTTTTTGTATTTGTTATAATCAGTGAATCTATCATCTGCTGTTGATCAAGAGTTCTGTTGGGAAATTGTGGGACAAACAGGAAGAATTACATTCCACGTTTTCTGGAAACTTTCGGTGAATGTCCTTATACGTTTCCAGAGCTTTCTGGTAGTTTCCTGAGAAGAAAAGAGAAAAGGGATCAGTGTTTGTAACTTAAACTTAGGTCATTGCTAGTTCCCAGCACCATCTCCTTTCGAATCGTCTTCCATTTCAGATCCATGAAGCTATTTCTGTTGAGTCCTTTGTTGAGATCTCCACATTAGGTTCAATCATTAAAACGAAAGTTAGTTATAATCAAATATAATCAATTATATTCTTGTATAACCCAAAATGAAAATGCTTCATATTTTATGGTTTTCTATATTTACAGTATACAAGTGGTTTGTTAAGTTGAGTGTTAGGCCTATTATGGTTTATGGGTGTCGCTGATAAGAGAGAGGAGACAGTTTCTTCCCTCTTCCCTCACAGCAGTACACAGGGATGGGGCCTCCTGACTTTTTGGAGAAATACTAAAGCCCCAAAAATGTGTTTGTGCCATAGCCGAGAATAATATGTTGCAAGTCCTGCACACTAGAGGCCATGCCCAGTGGGGGGGGGTTCCCCTGGCATGCTCTCTCTCCCGGTAAGCTCTCTCTCTGGAGAGCTGGGTTTTCCCTCTGTCAGGTTCTCTCAAACTTGGTATATAGGGAGGCTGTGGCTCAGTGGGTACTGTGCTGGACTTCGAATCAGGGGATAGCAAGTTTGAGCCCCACTGCAGTCAGCATGTCGTTATTTCCCTGAGACACTTCACCTCAAATTGCTCCTGTGGGGATTGTCCACAGTACTGAATGTATGTAAGTTGCTTTGGATAAAAGCGTCTCACAAGTGACATGTAATGTAATGTAATGTAAATGTTGCTCGAATTTCTTTGATGAAGCAGAGTGAATTGTTGGATGAAAGTTTGAAACTGTTAGATTCCACTGACCCTTTACGAGGAACCGCCTCTGAATGTTGTCAGGCTATAGGTGTGAATGTTAACTCCGGCGATCCGTGAAGAGATTCCTTTGGATTATGTCAGAAGACTCTAATGTCAAAACTATGAATTAAGGTTCCAGATTAGAACATGTAACGAGAGAAGGTAAAACCCTGTTCAAGTGTAGACCAATTTTTCATTCAAATAAACTGATCCCACCTTTTGGATTGGGATGACTTAAAACAAATCTGTGCTCTCCTCTCCTGCTTGAAAGGTACGAAATGCACCCTGCCACACTCACACTTAGGTGAGGCCACACCTCATTACTGATATCAAAATCCTTCGGGATCGCTTAAACAGATTTAGCGGGTCGTCTGAATTGAAACAGTAGTTAATTGAACCTGGTTCGTCAGGAGTTAAGGTGAGGTCTTGCTGACGTTGGTGGATCTGAGCCGAGCAGTAAACTGACATAGACTCAATAACTTCTGTTAGGTTAATTAGTAGGTCTGAGTAATTTGCCGGAATAAATTATCAGCTTCTCCCGACTCTTACAGTGGGCAAACAAACTGAATATCTTCTTCAATAGATTTGATCAGTCATGCGCCCCCAGAGGAACCCCCTCCAGAGGAACCCCCTCCAGAGGAACAACCTCCAAAGGAACCCNCATCTGTCTTCCTTGTAAACTAGCTTCCATCACCTAGTTTCCGTTTATCATTACCATCACTTCAGTCACATGCTTTTATCACATGGCAATACTTATGTTGATGTATATTGTTGTAAATGTTTTATCATTTTTATGCTATGACGTTTGTATTTTGTTTTTGTCTTTGCTTTTGTTTGCTTTGAACAGCCCTTGGAGGCATTTCTTGTGATTTGGGGCTATAATACATTTTCATTTGATTTGATTTGATTTATTTAACTTAGGAACGGACGGTTATTTTTGCCTAAATGTACCTCTTGAAGAGACAACTTAACTTTATTTGATCCAGGGTATTTGCAGGAATCCTGAAGTCAAATGTAAAACCTTTTGAGACCTTTTTTAAGACCCTTTCCATACATTTTAAGACCTCATCGCCACTTTGAGTTTTAACCGGTTACCTTGGCGACACACTTTACCTCACATTCACTATATACAGTATTGATTGTCCTTCCTCCTTATCTTCCAACCATTTGGACGCAGACTTGCATTTCCCCATAACGATGTTGTTTAGCAACCGGCGTAAACGGACCTTCGCGCTATCAAGCAGTGAGCGTGCGATGTCCTGTTCAGATGACGTCCCAACGGGATGCCATAAATAAACTACACAGAATCACACGACACACCTACGCAATGATTACATTCAGGCAGACTGTAGAATACAACCTCTTTGGACAATTTATATACTTATTGAAAACAAGCTACAAAATGTAANGCACGTCCCTTCCCACTACACACCTACGTAATGATTACATTCAGGCAGACTTTAGAATGCAACCTCTTTGGACAATTTATATACTTATTGAAAACAAGCTACAAAATGTAAAACCTTTGAAAATGCCGTTTAATACTTTTTAATAGACTTACTTTTCGCTAAATTGATTTATCAACTTTTAATACTTTTTAAGACCCCGCGGACACCCGGTGATCAGAATAAACCTTTATCAAATATAATAAGAAATGCAGCTTGTGGGTTGTGGACATGATTATATTTAGTAATGTGGATTAAATCTACTTTCCTGTGATGTGTATCATGCTATTTTACTATAATATGAATTATAAGGGAACATCTTACCACTTCTCCTGTAGCAGCTTGCCACCATCAGCTGCCACTTCACCTGAGTTGGTCTGAGGAAGACAACAAAATACATCCAGTCAGTAAAAACCCACTACTCTACCCAAAACGTAATTTAGATTGTTAAAAAGACATTATTAAAATTCCTTTTTGATTTCAGCTCGAAGGCAACAAAACAATTATCAGTCCTCTTTGTTCAAGAAGAAAGAAAAATGACTTCCAGATGAAAACACGCTTCATGGTTGATGAAAGAATACTATCACGGCAATCAAAACAAGATGAACTAAATCAGGAATCACATAAACAAAGTCAGGAAAGAGGAGAAATTAAATATATTTCTCAAGATTAACTGTTGGGACTTGACTTCTGGCATTCATTCACATTTAAATTTGCCAGTTTTTGAACATTTATTTTACACAGATGTATTTGGGCTGTTACTTGTCATGCAATACCCTTTCAATAAAAAGTGGTTACATACTGTATGAGTGTGGCTCTTTCAAAGAACTGGATGGCCTTCTCACAGAACTGTGTCTCGATGTAGTAAGCCCCGAGCCACTCGATCACATCGATGTTGGAGGGGTAGTACCTGAAGGACTGGACAGCAGCACAACATCAGAGCACTGAACTCTGACAATATTGATATATATATGATCAATCTAGGAAAGTTAATTTTTTTGATTTTTATCCGGTCATTGTGTCTTTGGATTAACTTAAAAATAGATTTAAAAAAGTGTATATGATTATATGAAAATTATAATAACAATAATTATAAATACTATAACAATTATAATGACTATTATCATAATTACCTTAATTATCAGTTTACATAAAAATAGGATGAGAAATGAAACGGTCTTGTTATCTGAACACAACACAACTTGTAGGAACTTATTTTTTATTCGTTTTACTTTATTTTCACCCTGGAAATGGATGTATGTATGTATGTTTAAAAATGTTTTTATCTGTGTGAGTATTTAATTACGGAATGATCTTTTATTTAATTTATCCTGAAACAGGATGACTAACGGGAGGGCTACCTCTGTATCAGGGTTGGCGTAATGGGGGGTCATTCGCGGGCCATGCCCCCCCCCCAAACAAGTCACTGTGCTCCCCCAACGCAGGGCAGGTAAGCCCTGCCACTTTGCCATTTTATTTTTTATCATATTATAGGTTAAAACGTTTCCACTAAATGTTTTTTGCGTGAAATAAATCAGAAATAAAGAATTCAAATAAAAAACACAGCCTGAGGTGTGCTCACTGCTGCTCGTTGATTGGTGTGTTTCTTGATCAATGACCCGCGACCTTTGTTTTGTTGTCATTACGTGGCTGACTGTTTAGTTGTAAGCCCAGTGGCGATCTGTTCATCTGTTATACTGATTTTACAGTAAAGCCATCAAAAATAATATGATACAGACAGTACAAGTACTTCTGGGTCTCTGGGTTTCATTAAAGCTCGGCTCTGTGTATGTGTGGCACGAGCGCATTTTGTTGTTGTTAGCATCTGGTTAGCTAGCTATGCTAACGGTGTGGAGGAGAGATAACTACAGCTCAGTGAGGTAAGGTCAGGACTCTGTCAGTGTTTAGATAGTTAACTTTAGTCTAAGTTATCTCAGTGGGTCTCAAACGGTTTGGTTACCATTTATGTAAACAATTATTTCCGAGGAACACCTTTATATGATCATTATAGCCTAGTTATACAAAAATAAGAGAATAAATGAAAAACAGGTATGAAATACTATGACAGTAAAACAAGAATAGAGTTTAAAAGGGGAGTGATTTGTAAAATATCCATAAAGAAAAGGAAAATCTGTTTACAGTTCTGTTTCATATGGGTGTTGAGCAGTGGCAGTTCTAGAACATTTTACATTGAGTGGCAAA